TGGAGGAAACTTGGAAAATATTTTCCTTTTCCTCCCCTTTTCCATGCTATCAAACATGGCCTTAGGGATTGAGAATGACGGATTGTATTTGATTTTGTGGGGATTGGACTTGGGAATGGACTTGGCATTTGGCAACTTGCAATTCGTAATTTGCAAGCAAAACCCATGACCATGGATTGGGCTGACCCGGTTGCTGACTGGGCCTTATTTAAAAAAAAAAACCCCAAACGTTTACAAGTAAAAAAGACTGTCTTCTTCATTCCTTTCATCTTCTTCTTGGAGGAGGATGAAGAAGCAGTCCCGGCAGACCCAGCACGGGCGGCCGCGGGAAAGGGCCAGGTGATGGGTCCGCCCTTGTATTTAGTACGATATCAACTAAACAAATTATCCATTAATTAAATCATTATACGAACGTGTAGGAAGGCACGACCTTTTCTCATGTCTAGCATGTAAGAAGATGGGACTTTTTCTTAGGAAATGATATATGTTAGTGAATTAGAATTATGAATAATAAAAGTAGATGTCGGGAAAGACAGGTACTCATAAAAATGTATGGCGCATTTTAAATTACAATTTAATTTCTACTTTAATTATTCAAAATGATGCCATGCTGTTAGAATTAGGGTGTGTTATTTGAAAGATTATTTGAGAATTTTATTTGAAGGTGAGTTGGGAAATCTAGTAAAAGTCTTTTTCGGAATTCAAGTTAGAATTCAATTTGAGAGTTTAATTGGGAGTTGATGATTTCTGTTGGATTTGAAGATGACTTGAAGGAGTATAATTTGCAATAGAAGAGAAAAAAATCGTACAAGGAATAAGAAACAACAAATCGACACTCGCTACGTGCTTAGCTCTTGCTCGAACACTCGAAACATAAGCTTCAGCGCCCGCTTACCGCCGATGGTCACTCGAGCAATAGGCCACCGCTCGAGCAGCACTCTTATCCAGTTTTTTGAATTGTTCATGATGTTGGTAGTTTTTTGAATCCTATTTTATCTCAAACACTCCATTATTGTTTAGACTTGTTATAATTGAACTCCGCCATATCTTAGACTCTTATTTGCAATATATGAGGAGTAAACTTCTAAAAAAATTATCATAGCATTCTACACAATAATTTGTAATCCTTCATTATTGATATTAATAAACTCTTATTTTTTGCTCACGGTATATTTTTATTATGTAAATCTTGTGTTTTGTTTGATTTTCATTTTTCCATATTATTATTTTTCTTTATTTTATTTCATTAACAAGTGGTATCATAGCTTGTGTTTGACACCCATTTTGGTGAAAATAAATTCTGGAATAGTGGAAGAATGTGCGGTTGAAAAGTAATAAAAAGTTTTAGATTTGTGTGTAATAATATTTTATTTGGAGAATGTGTAGTTGAAATGAAGAAATAGAAAAAAAAAATGAAAATGAAAATGGGTGTCAAACATGGCCATAGCAGGTTCAATCAACTCAGCTCGATATATATTTTTAATTTTTTTTTTTTGTAATGACAATTATGAAGTATGATATTTCGCTACTAGTTCATTCCTCTGATCATTCCCCTCTCTCACAGGTGAACGCACTCCTCACATTTGTTATTCTTTATACTATAATGCAGAAACAAAACTTAAATAAATTTGACCTGCTATCGATTGTTAGCCTTATTCTTCTCAGT